CAATAAAGCTCTAATTCAAATGTTCCCAGATATTTGAATTTTCTGGAGTAGTCTGCGAGATTTAGGAAGCTGGCGTTGAGCAGTTAACTTTTATTTTGTCAAGTATGGACTTGTGGGAAAAATCAAATATGATTACTGTTACCATTATTACTCATCTACTCAATAAACATTTACTGGTGCCTACTTTGTGCCCAGCACAAAAATAAGGGGCCATTTAACCGTAACAAAACAAAAGGTACACAATTCAGAATGCGAGACAGCCCATTAAATTGAATGTGTTTGGTTTTATGTATAACATATTCCGTTGTCCTTACTGCCCCCTTCCTGCCAAGGACTGCTGAGGACTTTACAGCAGAACTGTTCCTGTCCACTGAGAGACACTTCTCTGGAGAGAGGCTCTAAATTATACATCACATTTTAATCTAAATCATTGGTAACTGTCTTTTCCCAAAGGGATGGCTTTGGCTAGCAGCCTAGAGCACACAAGCACTGATCGATGGAGCCTCTCATACTTAGATGATTTCTTTAGATGCTCGGTAACTTCAGCATTCTATGAAAAATGCACAATCAGCCCAGCTGTCAAAAACACTGAAATGAGTTATTCAGAAATCCAGACTTCTGGTAAACAATCTCTTCACCAGGTTGAAACACCATCCTGAATAAAAAGTTTGTGCTAGGCTCCTGCCACATGAAGTTATTAAGGATCTCTGTGGCCCCTTCTCAACAATGATTCACACCTGTCAAATATTAGGGCTTTGCCAACATGTGGGTCTATCATCAGTAATTCTTGAAACAAATTAACGGAGCCCACCTGACCACAGAAGAGAGGGTAAACAGATTGGAGAGAACCAGAGGCAGTGACTCACGCCTGCAATCTCAGCAACTCAGGAGGCTGAGGCCAGGAGTTCAAGGATAGCCTGGGCAACATAGCAAGACCCCATCTCTAAAAAAAAAAAAAAAAAATTGAGAAAAAATTAGTTGGGCGTGGTGGTGTACGCCTGTAGTCCTAGCTACTTGGGAGGCTGAGGTGGGAGGATCGCTTGAGCTTAGGAGTTGGGGGCTGCAGTGAGCTATGATTGTGCCACTGCACTCCAACGAGAGTGACACAGCAAAATCCCCACCTCTAAAAAAATAAAAAGATTGGAGAGAAAAAGGTAGTGGTCTTTTGAACCATTAACTCTTCTGACCCCAGCAGTGGAAGTCTGGAGAGCTCACCTGAGGACCTGCCTGTGTTGCACAAATGCCAGGTGACCATCAGTGATCTTGTACAGGACTCACAGCTGAAGACAGCTTCTCACTTTAGAGGAGCTCGGTATTTCTGGCAGAAGCAGAAGAAAAAATTCCAGATTTAGTGTTAAGTTTTATAGGTATGGCATCATATTATCTTCCTCGCTGAGTAAAAGTAATAAATACAATGCCAATGGTGTTTTTTTACAATGCCCCTGGTATCCTCTTTTGTTAGTGTCTGGTCTAAATGTTAGACTATATCTCCTCAGTTCTCGCAGTTTAAAAGGTATGGGTTGGAAATAGCCCAAAGTTGTTGTTTGAATTAAAGCTGTGTTGGTAGGCAAAAAATAAAACTTAGAGGTGATGGAATGTTAAAAAGCCATTGAAAATTATGTTTGACATTTTTAACGATATGGAAAAATGTTTACGCCTTAGAAGCGAAAAAAGGGGCTGCCTGTGAACCAATAGGATCCCGACTACCTTAAGGAAAAGAAAGATGCTACGTGCACAAATAGATACAAAACTGGGATGAAATATACCAACATGGTAAGAGTGGTTGTTTTGAGATAGTGAAATTGTGGGACATTTTCCTTAACGGGTCTCTGTTTTCTAAATTTTCCCCAGAAAGTACATGACAAAGCAGCACAGCACAGTGAGAGGTCCATGGGCTTTGGAGTCAGAGCTGAAGCCAGTTCCTAGCTCTGCCACATACTGCAAGGGGAGCGGCTCCGTCTGTCTTGTTAATCAGCTTAGAGGCTGTTCATGAGGACTAAGTAAGATGATATCAAGTACGTATGGAGGTGCTGACAGCACACAGCCAATAAGTCTAACTGATGTATTATTTTTACAGACACAAGAATTTTAAAAAAAAAAAAACTATTCAGCAGAGGCTGCCATCTATATAGGTACTGAGGTTCTTCAAGTAGGAAACAATGCTGGTACCCTGACATTCCTCACTCATTAAATTTTTTCCTATCCTGGAGTGTGCTAAGATCCATAAGTTCTCTTCGTTAAGCTGTAGAATGCCTGGCCCTGTTGTTTTGACTGGGTAATAGCGTTAAGTTCCTGAGAGCTGCAAAACAGTGGGGCCCAAACCATGCACACAATGATATGTTCTCTCCATAACATGTAGACAGTCCCTCATTGTCAGGGGCTCCACAGGGATCAGGAAAAGATGGAAGAACAAAGCTGCATGCAAACTGTGCCCAAGTACCTGTAACACTATCTCAAAACTTTCACTTCTCTCAGGGGGCCTCCCAAGGATAAGATCCCATCTTTAAGATTATCATCCCCTCAGCAATGGTATTTGTTGGTTTCTGTTTATACCATATAATAGCCAATGCTCTGCAGTTTTTCTCATTCTTTCCTATATATCTCCTCCACCTGCACAGTGTGTACTATAGTTCAAATAAAACACATAAACAAGTATTTATTAAGTACTCATTCTGCTAAATGCCATGGAGAATCAAAAGGCTGTGTGTAGCAGAAAAAGCCTTGGATCAGAGAAAGTAGCCCTTGGGCTTTTTCTAGTCCTGATTCTATGTGTCATTTAGCCAAGCTACTTATCCTCTCTAGGCCTCAGTTTCCTTATCTGTAAATTGATGATAATAATAGTACCTACATTCTAGCGTTGCTAAAAGGATTAAATGAAACATTTACCCTTCTTGTACTTCAATTTAGTCATCACAACATTGTGATTAAGATTATGGGAAAATATTGATAAGGGATATCTGAAAGCGTATAGCATGTGAGTGAGCTCTATTGTATTGTCCTTTAAGAAGCTTATAATCCAATTAGGGGAACAAGAATTATACGTAGAAAGGTAAGAAAACAAGAGGTTGGCGATAACCAAGATTATCTGAAAAGGAAAATAAGTTGAGTACCCACTATGCGTCAAGTCCTAAGTGATCTCATTTAATGACAGAAACCCTATGAGACCACTTAATCTCCTCTAGTCCAATTTAGACCATTAGTAAGTGGCAGAGCCAAGATTTTTTTTTTTTTTTTTTTTTT